TTAGAGATAATGCACTTCTCCACAATATAGCTCCTACTCCATGAGAAAACACAGTTGTAAAGGACAAATATATTTTTCTACATAAGAACAAAATAATACTAATTTCTGGAAATCATAAATCTCAGAGTTAATCTTTAAGGGTAAGGCATGTTTGCTATAGTCTTGCAATGTATCCCTTTTCAGGTCCCTCTAATAAAATACATGACCAATTAGATATCAGCCTTAAGCCTATGACCAATTGCTCCATCCCCTGTGTTAGTAAAATCAGTTGAATGTTGTTTTTATTATTGGTTGGGTTATGTCTACCTCCTCTACATATGGTTTGGTGTTCTGTGGAGAGAACCTAAACTGATTTGTAAATATCTAATTCCTCTCCTTTTCTCACCCAATTTTGAGGGAACTGAATGATTCAGAAGGTTCAGACTGAGTTACATGCACTGTAAACATGCTTAAACTTTGATAGCTTTTCCTAATTAAAATGTAATTACTGTATGCTACATCAAAAGTCAGCATCTGGCCAAGCTAAATTATAAAATTGCTTTATTTCGTGAACTCTGTTTTAACTTATACCCTTGGGCCAAAGGCAGTCAGACAGAAAGATTGTTATTGGCACTGATAAACATGAAACCAGGTGCACTTCGGTCTCACTAATGCTCATTTCTGCCTCTTTCACTTGTTCTTCATATTTTGAGAAAATGTGATGGAGAAAAGGGGATTTGTCCTGACAGCATTCATATGTTAATCTCCTTGTAATTGCTAGGGGCTGACAGAACTCTCACTTGATTGAGACAATGAAACATCTGAGAGTGATTCTTGGAGCAGAGAAAGGTTCCTTTAGCACAGGATACCATATGAGATAAATAAGCTACTTACAGCTATTTGAGTAGTTTTGTGCTTTGAGGAAACTTGGTATCTATCTATCTATTTAGATACTACCTATCACCAAGAGGCTACAGGGCAGTATTGTTTATAACATAAGTAGCATAATAATGCAATACAGGAACTTAAAAACAATTACGACTCATATACATACAACTCATAATAAAAGCAGGAGTGTCAAACTCAGCCACACTCTTCCAGCCACAATTCCCCTCATCCAAAAGAAAATAAGAGGGAAATAAAATTAGAAACATACCATGAATTTTTATTTTATTTCAGCTTTATTTCAAAGGGAATGCAATTCTATATTTATTTATTGCATTTACTGTATTACACAACTTTTAAAGAGCAAAAGGTAGCATACATGCCCCCTCTCCCTGTCTCACAATAATCCTGTGCAATAGGCTAGGCTGAAAGATAGTATCTGCCCCAACATTACCCAGTAAGCTTCATAGTTGAGTGCGGATTTCAGCCTAGGTTGCCCAAGTTGTAATTTGATATTATAGCTGAGAGTGGCTAACCTATGGCCCTCTATGTGTTCCTTGTCTGCAACTCCCATCATCCCTGATTTGGCCATGTGGCTGATGGGAGTTAGAGTGCCAACAATGTCTGGAAGTCTACAGATTAGCAATTTATGCTCTAACCACTACCCTACTCTGGCTCTTATTGTTCCTGTCCACATCACCTGCAAAGGTCAAATACAAAGGTTCCAACGTTGGCGATTCTCTCATTCTGTTAGAATGCGGCTGTCAGATTGGTAAGTAGGGCAGCCTGAAGGGACTGTGTGTCACCAGTCCTTAGAGCATTACACCAGCCATCATTGAGCTACCAGGCCCATTTCAAGGCATTAATACTAGCAGTAGTAGCTGGTCAGATGGGGCACTATTGTCCTCCTGGCTTCCTAACACAGCTGGTTGCTGCTGGCTACCAAGAGAGGAGAGACAAGGTGGTAGGGCCAATCCACCACTCCAGCACCATGTGTTGCACCACACCAAGCTTTCCTGTGCCTCTCCCCTACCCTCTACATTGTGATCCACTGTGTTGGGAAGCCAGGAGGACAAAGGTGCCCCACCCACACCGCATCACTGGCCTCTACTGGCTTGGGACCCAGGTACCTAACAGAGCACCTTCTCCAGTACAAACAATTTCTGGTTGGTGTTGACCCATGACAGAACCTTATTGGTGGTGGCCCCTCATTTGTGCAATGCCGACCCTAACAAGGTGTGTCAGTCTCCTTCACTATTGACTTTTATGATGAATTTTAAAACGTTCCTATTTACCTAGACATCTGATGGTTGAAAGGTCTGTCCCTGGCAACCCTGAAATAATTAGTTTGAGAGTAGGTGATTTTTTATAGAAGTTTTAATTTGTGATAGTTCTGCATTGACATATTTGCTTCCCTGGGCTCCTTTAGAGGAAGGTGCTGGATATAAATGTAATAAATAAATAATAAATTCTGCCCGGAGGCAATGGCAGTATAACTTGCACTCCAATGTTACAGATTTTAAAGTTGTTTTCAGATTTTACAGGAAGAATGGAAATAAATAAACTGAATAATACAATAAATGCTTCTTTGTTACAGGAGGCTGAAGGGAATAGAGTTTTTAAATAATAAAAAATGTTTTTATTATTATCAGTTGACTACTGATTGTATTATTATATTCCTGATGAATCTTGCACCTCACTGAGGATTTTTCAATTGCTCATTTTATGTTGTTTTCCTTGGTTTATTTCTTAGTGAATTGTTTTTATTCGTGATTATATTAACCAGAGAGATTCTTATTGTGCTAAAGGCACCTCTAATACAGGACTCTCTGCAGATGTGGTTAAAGTAGGAAATTGCGGGACATTAGGATCTAGCACCCCCCCAAACTTTGGTTAGGTTCTAGCCAGGAACAGAGGACTAGTTGGAAATGTTAAAGATACTGTGTAAATATATAAATATATTTATATATTGTGTAAATATATAAAGATATAGTGTGTAAATATATAAAGCTATTGTGTAAATATATAAAGAAGTAATGTGGGAATGATGACTGGAATACAGCAAAGAGGCTGATGAATGCCCAGAATACAGGGAAATGGCAAAAGACCTAAGGGCGCTGTTAGCAAGGGGGTGGGGGCAGAAGGTAAACTGGAATCTACTTGCAAATCCCTGAGTGAGTTATGAGGTTTCTGACTCAGTTTTTTACAATAGCGAAAATGAGGCTTTTCCAATGAGGCTGTTGAAACAATGAAAACCAAAAGTGGGTTTTTGTGTGAAAGAACAGTGAGCCCACCTCCCGTATAAAAAAAAAATATTTAACTCAATCAACGCTTAGTGGGGGAAGCCTGTTCTTTATATCTAAGTGTTTCACTGCTCATAATAATGAGACACCATTTTGCACCTTACACTGTTTGGTAAATTTCAGGGTTCTAGTAATAAATAAATATTTAGTAGTTTCTGCAAATATGCCCACCCATGCCTGATGGATCCTTCCCCCCCTTTTGAACTCTCTTCTAAGTTATAGCTGTTTGGTCTAAAAGGTAGATTATTAGATGTGGTGGAGAAGAGGACTCATAAGTGCCATGTACCTTTCGTTCATGTGGCTCAAATGTTACAAAATTAAATTATTATGATAACTTTGTATGGAGAGAGAGAAACCAGAGTTCATTTATACTCTGGATTGTGCCAACTGAGCATTCTCTTTTTCAATAATGTACACAGATATTTTAGATTTTTTTTGTTATTTTCAATTACTGTTGTGCTATCATATGCTTCTGTGTCATCATTTGCTTCCTTGCACTTACGTTTTCCCATTGGAAACCATGGTCCTTGCTAGGGAAATTGAAAGCTTTCCCAGTTTTTCTGTTCAAATCCCTTTTCCCTAAGAGTTTGAATATTAAATTATGTATTTATTTTTGACTTAAATATTTAGAGATGAATGCAAAGTAGCCACTGGAAGTAGGGTCCTTACAGTTCTGCAAATAATTGTTGAATGAGCTTGATATAATGAATAGAGTTTGTGTGTTTGCTTGTTTATCCTGATCAGTTTAGACTAAAAGAAGGTAATAACCAAAAAACCCCCTCCAAATATATTATAATTGTGCAGTGCATATTTTGGGTTTAGTTCAGGGCACACAGTGGATGTAATTCAGTGTTGCACTAAGGCTAGATTGAACAATCTCCGTTCTGCTCTCCCCCCCCCCCATGCTATTTTAGACTCTCCTCCACAGGAGGGGGGAAGGTGTGGGCTGCAGTGGGGAGGAGATGGGGGAAAGTCCCATTGCCTTAGTGGGCTTTCTTTGATTATTATTTGTTTATTCATAAAAGTATTAATATACTACTAGATCACAAAGCATAGCAAAACAGTCAACAACACTAAAAGCAATTTAAAAGCATTGTGTGTAAACTGTATTTGCGTTTGTGAGCTAGAACAGAGGACCTAAATTGTAGTGTTGACTGATTTACTGTTATATAGCAGCGTCCCCCCCCCCTTCATCCTTTCGCCTTGAGGTATCTGGTGTTCTTCACCAGAATGCACAATTAGGTGGTGGTTTGGGGCTTTAGGAATTTTGATCTGGAAGACTTTAAAACAGATTCCCATGGTAAAAAAGTGTAGTGACCTATAACCAGCAACCAGGTTACAATTTTAAGCCAAGTTAAAATTATTGATGTTTTATAGAATAATGGAAAGTGGAGCAGATAATGTTTATCAAGTTCAGTATAACTACTTAGGTGTGGGTGCTTCCTTAAATGCAAGAAAAAATTGCATGGATTAAACATATTATTGTGGGCATGTGGAGGATTGTGACGAAATATACTTTAGCTTGTATACTGTATAAAAAACTAACCTAGTTAGAAAATACTTTCACATTAAATATAGAAACATGATATTGATGCTATGTACTAAGAATTTATATAGTAAATACTATAAATACTTTATGGATTTTATACTATATATCAGCTATAGTATTAATAATATTTAATTATGAAAACTTAATTGTATTTATACCAATAATTTCTAGCATTTACCAATTATATATAAACATGCTCTTAAAGGTATGTTCACTAGGTATTTTTCTAACAACAGAAACAATGATTTGGGAAATCAATTTCTTTTCTATATTTTATCTTTTAGTTCAGTGTTTGGAGATGACAACCAAAAGGAAAATTATTGGTCGCCTGGTGCCATGCCGATGTTTTCGAGGGGAAGAAGAAATTATCTCAGTGCTCGATTACTCCCACTGCAGCCTTCAGCAGGTGCCAAAGGAAGTTTTTAACTTTGAACGGACATTGGAGGAGCTTTATCTAGATGCCAATCAAATTGAAGAGCTACCTAAGGTAAACTCTGTTCTTTCTCTAATACACAAATGCAGTTGCCTTGCTGAATGAACATTTAAGGTCTGCTTGGAACTCGCAGTATAAAAAGGGAAATTGGCATAAACAAACTGCTGAGTTCAAGTATTTAGAGTTCTAAATATTCTCACTGTGTCAACTAATTACACATTTTCCTACTTTTAGAAAATACTGCTTTCAGCTCTGCAAACAGACAAAGAGGTCTGTGGATTTGGTCCTTCCAGGTGTATGAATTGAAATTCCTTTATTAATGCCATGTTATTCAAGAAATATGCATTGGGAATTATCTAGAATGTGCTAGAATTAAGTCACAACAAATTCTAAGCTCATGGGTATATTAATGATGTGTCATTTGCTTAAAATGAAGAAAATATTTATTTTTTTTGGAGGCTAGAGACCTAGACATGGTGAACCCTATTTAACATTTTCACATCTCTTCCTGTTATGTATAAATGAGAAAATTTGTGGCATGGCACTATTATACAGTATTGTGCATTCCTTGCCTGTATCCCATGTTGTTTGCTGCTTCCGCTGGGGTACACAGATCAAGTAACATCAGGTTTCATTTCTAGCCTGGGTTAGATGGAATAGAAGGTAAATGTGGTGGCAGTCTACCTGAGAACCCCTTGCTTACCCAGACTGACAGTCATAGCAGCAAGAGAGTAAAGTCTCCTTTCTGTTACAATATCTACTTCACAGTTGCTCTCTTCCATCAGTAGATGTGAAAACTCAGATGTGGCATAAGCTTGCACTCCTCATTACCAGCCAACAGTACTGCTCACTGCTTTGATCATTACATAGGAAGTGTGAGTAAAGGAATTTGCACTTTCTCTTTCCTTTCTCTTCCGCCTCAAAACATAACATTTGAAGCCATTCACTGACTAGATTCCCACAACTTCACCTGTCCTCTAGTGTGAAGGATGGCAAACACATACACATCCTTCCCCCACCCAGTCATTTGTACTGCAGAAACAGCAAGAAACAAAATATTTTCTTTCTGTCTATCTTTTCCCTTTTCCGTGCAGTCCAAATGACAGAGGTGTCTGCCTATCTCCCAAGCCTCTGCGTTTACCTGTGGGCTTGGAGAGAGGCAGTTCCTTCTGTCACTTGTTTTGAGAAGAAGCCTCTTGCTATTTCTTTCTTATCTTCTCCAAACTGCAGTGCAAACAGAACAGCACCTTGCCAAGGCCTTGGAAGCACAGAGGGTTTAGGAGAGAGCAAAATATCCCCCAACTCTTAACACAAGTGAGTTAAGAGAAGAAATAGTACAAGAACAGCTGCAGTTCCTTATCTGCTCCAAGTCACAGTGCAAATGAGAAAAATCCTTGCTTCTTTCTGCAAATACCAAAGGACTTGAGGAAGGGGACAGGTTTGTAGAAAGCACAAGTGAAAGCTGGATAGCAAACGGATATTTTGTTGACACGTACAGCTCATCTGTATATTCATGTCACCATAGTGCCTCAAATCTCTTAAAATTTGAGATTTGCTGTCCATGTCCTTTTCATAGCTTTAGAGGAATTTTGCGAGAGAAAGAATGGGAGGATAACACTGACACATCCTCACTGGGAAACATAGCACAAAGCAACTTTCATTTTTGAGGGCTGGATGAGCTTTGGAAAGTTTACACGTCCGTGAAAAGCATTTCTTTTTGTGGCATCGTTATTGCATATTGCTGTTGTAGTGCTTAGTGCCCCAGTATCACATACCAAATGCCAGTTTGATTAGTTCATTACATTACGTAGAGCATCTGTTGGGAGGACCCTCGCAGTGCCTTGCTTAGAGCCGAATCTTTAAATTGACCATTAGCCTGTCTGCAACCTTTAGACAAAGAGCACTGGACCGTTTGAGGGAAAAAAGACTGGCAACCGCAACCATTGCACATTAAAGCATGTGCGCCGCTTGCCCTCCGATCTGACAGCGACGGAAGGGACCGGATGCGTGACTAACGCACGCACCGACCCCCAAGTCACAGCCAGTACAGCGCCCGCCACAGTGGGGAGTGTCGGGGCGCACAATGCGCCTCCTCCCCTCGCTAGTATCCACCCCGGAGCCGCGGCAAAGGTCTAAAAGAGCCACATGCGGCTCCGGAGCCGCGGGTTGCAGACCCCTGCTCTAGCCAAAGCTACACAGTATCCTTCATTCCAAATTATTAAGTCTCATTGACTTCAGTGGAGGAACTTAAAACTGCTTGACTTGGGTAGATGTTGCCAGCTCTGTATTGTTCTATTGCTAAACTGTCTCCCCTTTTCTTGCCTCTTTAGCCAAATTTGGATGCTCAGTGCAGTGGTTTATTCACTCCACCGGGCAATTGTTTATAACTGGAGAAGCAATTTAGTTATACTCTCCAGGGGGTTGAAGGAAAAGTGATATAGAGAAGTGAGTCATTTACTCAGCTGTATGTATCTGTTGATAGAGAAGACTCCAGATACCAAATCATATTTTTCTGCCTCATAGAGATGAAATGGTGTGTGATAGAGGTCAATTTGTCGGTAGATAGTTCAGAGTTATTGCTTCATTTTAATCATAATGTATGGTTACTATTTAATAATAATTTAAAGAGACTTTTTTAAAAAGGGATTCCACCTTCTCGATGCGTGTGTGTGTAGAACACAAAATGTGTCATCTCGACTATCACATTTTAAAAAGAGATTCTAGCGTGGAATTTTAACATGTGGCCACAAGTACATCACAATATAATTTTGTGCGTAATAGATAGTTGAGTGAGAAGTACAGCACCTCATTAAAATATGTGATAATCTATGAAGTCTTTATAGAAAATGCTGTTGAATATGCAAAAATCCTGAGGATCCATGTGGATCCATGCTTTGTAACCACGTTTTTGCACCACTGCGGCCCCAAGCAACAGTGGGTGCGTGATTTTTTTTGGTGCAAGATGTAGCCATGGACATGCTATGTGATTTGATGGTGAATTTGGGGTGACCCAGTGCAAAAATCCTGAGGATCCATGTGGATCCGTGCTTTGTAACCACGTTTTAAGTGGGGAGGGAAGGAAAAGCACTCAAGGGACAAGGAGCATGCGTAGGGTGTGTGGAGAAGGATGCTGCTAATAATGCAGAAGAGGGGTTTAAGGGGAGAAGGAACACGCATGGGGTGTGTGGAGAAGGATGCTGCTAATAATGCAGAAGAGGGGTTTAAGGGGAGAAGAAGCACGCGTGGGGTAGGTGGAGAAGGATGCTGCTAATAATGAAGAAGAGGGGTATAAGGGGAGAAGGCTCCTCTCCTCTCCCACTTTGCTCCTTTAAAGCAAGCAGGCTCTGCTTTTCTCCCTCCTCCCCGCTCATCCCTGGCTTAGCGAGCTGAAAAACTTTGCTGCTATGTAGCGAGCTGAGTGGGGAGGAGAGAGGGACAGAGAGCCTGCTTGCTTTAAAGGAACCAACCGGACAGGAGCCGCTTACACTTGTGTAAGCGGCTCCTCTCCTTTCCCGCTTTGCTCCTTTAAAGAAGCAGGCTCTCTGTCCCTCTCTCCTCCCCACTCAACGGCTCTTCTCCTGCTTTGCTGTTTCAAAGCGAGCCACGGAGGAGGGAAGGAAGGGGAACCATGGATCCTCTTCTCACAACTGCAGCAGATCACCCCCGCCACCCGTAGGCATTCCCTCCATAACAGGCACAGACATTTCCCCTTACTTTCTGGGAGAGAAAAGTGAGTGTTATGGTGCAAAAAAATACGGTAGCTTGTTTATCTGTAGATAGTAGATAGATTAGACCCTCTCCTCACTTGATCCAGGACAGCAACTGTGGCAAAATTGCCAGGATGTTACAATGCAAGTTAAAAGGCATTCCCTGCCCCAGGATTCATGCTACAATAACGTTACCTTTTTCTTAATTCATCTAGCTGAGATTTGCATTGATATCAATAAAAATAACTTTTCAAACTCATCGGCTCTCCATTTTGAACTCTTATGCTAAGAACATGTAGTTTGAAATCTTGGAACTTTTGGTGACCTTAGCTGTACCCATAAAAATGTACATGAACTTAATTCTATGCTTCTCATTCTGTGGAACCACTACACTGATTATAAAATGTGTTTTCTTATGCCAGTGAGGTCATTTACATAGTCCATACACCAAATCTCAACAAGCTATAACATGGTTTGTCCATTGAGCTATTTCTCTATTAAAGCAGAGAGCATAATCTTAAATTCTAGATCCAAATGCTTCTTCTATAGCAGGCTTCCTCAACCTTGGCCCTCCAGATGTTTTGAGACTACAATTCCCATCATCCCTGACCACTGGTCCTGCTAGCTAGGGATCATGGGAGTTGTAGTCCAAAAACTGCTAGAGGGCCGAGGTTGAGGAAGCCTGTTCTATAGTCTATGAGCCCTTAGGAACTTTTTTTTTGTGCAGCTAGGATTCTGAAAAACTACAAAATAGATGGGCGACCTAAAGCTCAGCAGTTAGTAGCATATGAATTCCTGTGTAAAAGGTACATATTGCATGTTGGTTATGCCCATTAGAGTCTTAATGTTCAATGCCATCATAATTTCTTAGAGTTAAATAAGATTTCCTGAGAAAATGTATATCTTAAAAGGCTCTTCAAAGTAATTTGATTCCTTTGTGAGTGCATTTCTCACTCTGCCTTATTGTTGCCATTACTTGCCATTTCTTTCAAAGTGAAAAGCAGATGACAGAATTATTCCAAAAGGAACTCTTTTCTTAGCGTAAATTGGCTTGCATTAAGCTACTGCATTCACCAGCACAAATTAATGGTCTCTGTATAGTAGCTCTCAGACTTTCTGGAGCAATATTTTTATTTTGTCCTTTGCTAATAGATGATCGGGCCCATCATAAAATATGAGGTAGCTATGCTAATCCACACTGAATGCTTTTTAAAAGTGAGTTTTGTTAGTCCATAGTTTGTTCACCAGCATTTTAGCACTAGTATTAATTACACATTGTTTGCATTTTAACATTGTGGACTATGGTCACATTGAATTATAGTTCTGCTCCCTTTTGAGTTTTATAAACATATCATAAAAAGTGAAGAGATGGTTTCAAAATCTTACAAGAGAACAGATTTATGGTCACCTAAATTTCATAGTATACCAGTACAATATCTTATTCTTAGGTCTCTAAGATAATTCCCTCCTCCAATCATTTGTGTGCCAGTTTTTCTGTAATTGGTAGGCCTGTTGTTTCTAATCACTCCCATTAAGAAGTCTGGATCTCTAATCTGCAACTGAACATAGGAAGCTGTCTTATACTGAGGTGCCTATAGCTCAGTTCTACACTACTTTGCAGCAGTTCTCCAAGGTTTCAGAGAGCAAGCCCAGCCAGACCTGGAAATGCTAGGATTTAAACATGGGATGTACAAAACAGGTGTTCTGTCACTGAGTTTCCCTGGGAGCTGAAGGATTCACTCTCGGGAGGGACATGTAAAAGGGAGCATGTTCTGCTGCTCTTTAGAGATCAACCTCATGTACACTGGGTCTTACTGGCCATGAGCAAATGTGCTTTATTTTATTGCCTCTAAATGTTAACACTAGACCAAAATTTAAAGCAAGGATCATAACCAATTTTCTCTCGTTTTTGCAGCAATTATTCAACTGTCAAGCTCTGCGTAAACTGAGTATCCCAGACAATGACCTTTCAAGCCTGCCAACCAGCATTGCCAGTTTAGTGAATCTCAAAGAACTTGACATCAGTAAAAATGGTAAGGAAAAATGTCTGTCCATTCCTTTTCATTTATCATAGAATCACAAACTTAAACCAATGGAAAGGTTGAAGTAAGAGCTACCTTTACCATGCTTATTTATAAAGTAATTTATCAGTCACCTTTTGCCCCCAGCCCACTCAAGGCAGCTTATGGAGCATACAAACATAATAATAAAAGACTTAAAATAGCAGCAGCACTAACAAGTAAAGCAGCAATGTAAAAAAAAATTCAGATAATGAAAAGCTGTTCATGTTAAAATACCTCTCTAACAACCAAGGCCTTGTTTAGAAGAAGGCTACCTGATATGAATGAGGTTCTATAATCCACTTAAAAGTTTATAGCATTGGGGCCAAATTGGGCAGTTGCATAATGTGGGAGTCACCATTTTAGATTAACTGAAGCTTGCTGAGTCATGTGAACCAGGACCATGCACATGGAGGGCAGTGTGTGTATCAGTAGTGGGATGGATTGATAATGAACAGCTATGTCTATTTCTAATTATAAAGTAAAATCAGTACATGGGGAAATGCCACATTTTTATCATTTGTTAAACCAGGGTTTGAGATGGAAAGAATGCTAAAAATATTAATTTCTTTTCAGACCCTTTTTCTCATGTATTGTTTTTGACAGCATTAAAAGAATTCTCAGTTGCCCTGAAGAATAGTTTATTCCTAATATTATTATTAGAATTTCTTACGCATCTTTCACCATTAGGTCCGGGTTACAGCAATATAAAAATACAGCATTAAAATCAGTGGTGATTGGAGTACGGGATATGCCTCTTGGTTTAAACCAGCTAGAGTTTGTGCCTGAGCTGGAAACTTTGGTTAGCTTAAATAAGTCTCCTCAATGCTGTCCGACAAACATTTTGCATTACAGTGAGACAAATAATGAGTGGTAACGAAGGTTTGTTCTTGAGTTTGTCTGGACAAGACATTTAGGATAGCACACAAAGTAAAGCTATGACTTAGTTCGTAGCACCCAGCAGCAGGAAAATTAGGGGAGTAACACAGAAGCCATGATCTTGTTCTTGAAACATCCATGCTCATGTGTTTTGCATTATGTGTGAAAGGTCAAAACAAACAAAAAACAGGTAAAGGACCCCTGGACAGTTAAGTCCAGTCAAAGGCGACTGTGGGGTTGCAACACTCATGTCGCTTTCAGGCCGAGGGAGCCGGCGTTTGTCCACAACATCTCTCCGGGTCATGTGGGCAGCATGACTAAACTGCTTCTGGTCTACTTGCGCTGGCATGCTTTCGAACTGCAAGCTTGGCAGCAGCTGGGACAGAGCAACAGGAGCTCACCCCATTGTGCAGATACGAACCTCCAACCTTCTGATCAGCAAGCCCAAGAGGCTCAGTGGTTTAGACCACAGTGCCACCCGCTCCCTCCAGAGAAACAAGCACTCTGACCTTTATACCAACCAGAAGGAGAGGAAATATTTCCTCCAGTCTTGTTAAAGTGTTTTTTTTTTGGGGGGGGGGAGGGAGAAAGATGAGAACATCTGTAAGCACTAGACAGTTTATTAAATGTCCTTGCCTATATATCCTTGCTGATATATCGAGTATTTAAGATGCCAGGAAACAATGTTTCGTTCCCTACAAACTGTTAATTACAGAATTCTATATCTTTTCTAGAATTATAAAACATAGCTACCATAATGCTTACTTTAGATCATGACTGTACTTTTTTCCACCTCACAATATGTGTAATACATGAAACATGTGAGGAACATTTAGGTGCTTCCATGCTCAGTGCTTTGCTGCAGAATCTGACTAGTTCTGCAATGGCCATCAGGCACAATTGATGTCCAAGAGGAAGGAAGAACTGTGTGCTGTGTAGACTTTAGCTTAATATAGTCTTCAAAATAGGACTTGACTAAAGCTAAGCAATTTCTAAGTGCCCAGGGGAATTTCATGAGCAGAACAAAACCTCAAAGGGATATATTCTGACACCAAAGCACATAATTGATTCTCTTTAATTTTTGCTGCTACCTATTTGGGCACTCTGCTTGTCTAATGGTGTCAGAATAGAAGTGTTACATAATGCACAGGATGTATCATTACAATGAACATTATGTTATGTTCAGTCCACCTTTAGGGCTGCAGCTATTTTTATTTTTGTAAAATCGTCTCTCTTCTGCAACGATCAATGCTTGCTTTATTTTAGAGCCAGTTTAATGTAAACTTTCTCAGCTTATTTCACTTGCCAGTGTATCATCACTGCATTGGGCTTACTTGCACCTCTAGCAGACAATGGCACCAGTAGCTTTTACAGGAAATAAACTGGCCCCTCTTCATTTTTTTTGCTCCATGTTTGCTTAATCCTTTTTTTCATCCGTCAATACAGAGATGACTCCATGCATGCCCAAACCTCCCAGCCCACGGTTTTATATCCGTTCACCTTGACAGAACCAGTTGATGATGAATGGAGTAAAGGGTCCGTAATTAAAGAACCAGACCTCAACCAGACAATATGTTTCAAGATGCTCACTACATGCCACTCTTACGCTGTGCCCTAGCCACTCTAGGCTTGTTTTCAAAATCAGCAGAAAACAGACACTGTGCAGACCCTTCCTGCCACTGTAGACCCTCAGCCAACTTGTCCCCACTCCAGTGGTTATCAAAAGAGTCACTAAATTGAAGGGGAATGCTCCCATGCAATTCAGGAAGTCAGCACAGCTTTGCCAATAAGCATTACACACTGGATACAGATTTCATGGACCTCTTAAAGACCCTATCAATGGACAAATCAGAACTTGTTACCAAAGGATGGAGATGCTTAGTTAAATGATACCTCTGACAGGTGACTGGATTTTGCCCTTAGGCCTATTCATGATGCAATAGCACTATCTATCCATGCATCTTCTGCAGCATCTATGTTTGCTAAACCATCTCAAGTAATGGGTGAAGGATCTTCTCACTACTCCATAACAGGATCCTGCATGCATCGCAACACCTTACTGATGATATCTAGGATGGCAGCATTCATGGTGGAAGCTGCTTTCAAAGTCAACCTCTCCACAGCATCTTTCCTTGAACCAGTGCTCCCCCCCCCCAAGAACCCCGGAAACTGCCAATGATGCAATCCATGACCAAGTGTGTGTGTGTGGGGGGGGGTAATCACCTACACGCACTAATACTTTTTTGATTCTTACAACAGCGGATAAATGGATCCTGAATACCATCTGCTGTGGTTACTGCATAGAATTCAGCAGTCACCCTCAACCTTGGTTCATCCTATCACCCCTCTCTGCTTCACCCTCCAGTTGCTAGATTGTGAGAGACTGTGTCTAGCTGTTACACATGTATCATGAACCCACATGCATGTCTAAGCACTCACATGTATTCATACACACGACAATGAAAGTTTTGAGATATTTTGCTAGAGTTACAAGGTACACCAATTTATGAATATGTGCTTGCCCACTCTCACTTTGTCCATCTTTCAAATCAAGAGTTTAGAAGAACTCTTAATTTCCTAGTGAGAAAATGACTAAAATTGGCTATCCTATTTGCTTCCCCCTCTGTGTTTTGCTTTAACAAAAGGTGAAAGAAAAACTGTAATCATAGTATAAGTGATTAACTGAACCTGACTATCTCTTTGTCTGCTTCCTGTACCACCATTAGCTTGAAAGCATCCATTCAGAATGTTAAGTAGATTTTAATGGTAGCTAGATTTACATGTACGGTCTTTACAGGGTGTGATATATTTTCAGGACACTTGAGATCGGGCTGGTACCAGGGTCAAGCAAGGTTCATGATGGAGAACCTCATGTCATATTTTAGTTATTTCAGTTTTACAGTTATGACATGCTAAACCATAGAAATAAGCTCAGATTCACACACCTGTTCACACAACATCTCATCAACATGGCAGCAATAGAACCGTACTGCCAAAGAACACTCATTAGGCATTTACTTGATCATGTTTGTAGTTCCCACAAAAGACCACAAAGTCTGGAGGGCAATTCTCAGTCTGAAATATCTCTACTGCTGGGTGATCTACAAAAAATTATGACCGGAATCCTTAGCCTCCTTCAAGTAACCCCTTCATCTCAACGACTTCATGACATCCATAGACTTACAGGATGGAAACCTGCATGTTCCTTTTCATCCAAAGTACCAGGAATGTCTTCTATTCTCCATTGGCCCATATCATTACCAGTTCAGAGCCCTCCCGTTCAGATTGGCCTCGTCTCCAGGAGTCTCCACAAAGGTAATGGTTGCACTGGTGTCTCACCTCTGCCTCCAGGGCTTCCACATCTACTCATATTTAGACAACCTCCACCTTCTTCTACAGATTTTTTACAGCAGCTGAATTTGGGTCTGCTGTTGGTTGATGGCTGAAACACATTTTATAATAGACAATAGTGAAGGTTAGTCCATGAGGACAAGTGGGCAGTGCCCCACTAACCTTACTCAGCCCAACTCTGCCTTCTTATTCAGTCCAGGGGTTGATATTGGCTGTCAGCTTTCTCCTCTTGCCCATTATAGAATTTACTTCCGAGCCAGCCACTCCCTCCTGCACTCAGGATCACTTCAAGGAATCATGAAAAGATCCCCACTGGATTGGGACCCACATCTATAACAGGGAAAGAGCTTGCTCAGCATCAGGGCAGCAGCAGCAAAACAAAAACAAATTTTTATTCCAAGGTTGATGCTGGTGCTGTGATAGGCGCCGCCATTTTAGTGGAGCAGCTGTTTTGAACACAAGCTATAGGAGTGGAGGCAAGAGCGCCATCTGGTTACGTCCGGCCAACCTTCAGCCATATTTCTGATAATTGCCGACATGAAGTCAATTTGTCAGCTTTGACTTGTTTGTATCTGCCCATCATTACACCTCTGTGCTGCACTTTTAATATGAACGCTACAGGAAGAAATCCAGCATGGGAAGAAGCTCTCATGACAAAGACTTGTAAACAGGGGCATTTAGCAGAGGAGTCTGAGGGGAAAGCCTGGAGTGCTGACTCACAATGTATGTAGGACCAAGAGACATGGACTGTGAGGGAGCTACTGCAGTGACCTGCAACACCTGTGCCATGTTTGTCTTCCTGCCTGATAATGTGCAAAATACACCTGCAGCAAGAGTAATATGGTTGCTTTACCTGAAGAGAAGGTGGGGATAAGGTGGTGCTATATATTCAAGCTGTCCTATGTACCTAAAGGTGTTTGCTAGGAGATTAAAAAAAACCCAAAACATTGCTAGAAAAGTTTGTTCCTTTTCAAAGACAAGGAGTCATTGAATAAGGACGGTCTCCTAGTCCTTGGGTGATAAATTCAGCTTTGATACTTTGTTTTTCTGTGTCATTGCTTGGTGACTTCCTTTGCATTTTATCCACCTCTCGATGATTTACTCTATTTCATTTTCAGAATAAACATCCACAGGCTATAACCTTGACATGCGTAATAAAAAAATTAACATAAGTAAGTTCCTGTGATGAGTCATGGGCTAAGAAGAAAGACAATATTAATACAAGTACAAGCAAAGGCAGTAGCACCCGCCAGAGCACTCTGCTTCCTTTACTAACGTCTTAAGAACAGCAGGGATCTTTCTGTTATTGGCACATAATTTGCAGTTGTAGGTAGTTATGTATTAACACCAGCTGATCCTGTAACATTGCAGTGTGCTTTCAATTAGCTCTCTTCTTCATTTTTCAATCATATATTGCTTTTTCAGTCCTCATTCAGCTTCTCATGGCCAAGAAGGCCACAGTCTTGCAACCACCCAGTCAAGAGCCGTTTGACTGAAGTTTTTTGGATTATTAGACTTTAGAAAGTTTCTACATTATTACATTATTAAATAATCTAGCTAAATTCTAGATTAAAGCAATTTATTAACTGCTGGGTAAAATGGATGCTGTTTAGGGTGTGTTATTGGCTAATAGCACATCCCTGTATTCCCACAGCAGAGGTTTTGGTACTGACTGTTTGTGGTAGTGTATTTGTTTACCAATAGCAAGATGTTATATATAGGTGAAGGGGAACCTGTGACCACTCAGCCCTCACCCAGAAGAAGCAAGGATGAGGCATATTTAAAACAAAACAGGAACATTATTTGTTCATGCTCAAAGGCATTATAGCTTAGTGGTTACTTTTGCAAGGCACAATACTTTACAGTATTTCAAACAGACTTTCAGTGAAGTATAAAGGATTGCATTTAGAGGGGGAAATGGTTAGATATGATCCCTCTACAGAAGTTCTTCCACATGCTGATAGAGTTCTTTCAATCCTAGCCATACCCATAATTTTTTAAAAGCTCAGATATAATTACTACAATGTGTGGAATTGTGATCTGCTTAGGACTAAAATGAGAGTTTAGGTACTTTAAAGACCAGTCATTTGTTGTATTCCTTCCCTGATAACATACATCTTTGTTCTCTTTTTAGGGATCCAAGATTTCCCAGAAAATATAAAGTGCTGTAAGTGTTTAACAATAATTGAAGCCAGTGTCAATCCTATTTCTAAGTGAGTATCTGTCAATGAAGTTAAATGTTTCCTGTTATATATGTTCAGTGGTTTGCATATTAATGTATGTAATGTAAAGTGAAGGTATAACACATGGATGGAATTGTCATTTGGTTATAATGAAGCTATGCAAGAAATTTTTGTCCAAACTGCGGGAGGCAGTGGAAGGCAGGAGTGCCTGGTGTGCTCTGGTCCATGGGGTCACAAAGAGTCGGACACAACTAAACGACTAAACAGCAACAAGAAATTGAGTGAAGTGTAAAATAGCCTTACAGCAAATTCTGCAGTGACTGCTAGGAAAAAAGGTGGACACATTTTAAGAGTTGTACTGATTTAGTTTTCTATATTGTATTTTTATTTTCAATTAGGATTTATTTCTATAAAAACATACACAAACAAAATTTCAATATTGTAAGTTTTTAGGGTTATTGAAGAGGGTATGAAGGCTGATGCCATGCAGAACCCAATATGAGGAACACGATAAGCTCCCAGTTTATAAAAACCATTTTCCAGCACTTTTTAAGAACATGGATAAGTTTCTTTTACCAAGTCAGACCATTGATTTATCTTGCTCAAAATTTTGAGAACGGTAAACTCTGCCTTAGGAATCCACATGGGTGTGAACCAAAAGAGGCATAGCAATCCCTGGAGCTTGTAGTGGTTTAAGGAGGATTATATTTTTTACTTTTATTTTTAAAAGTATTTTCATGCTGCTACTCATATACAAACCAAACATATATATGTATAATAAAAACCATATAAAAATAAAAAATCAGAGATCAACTCCTACAGAGAGATATTTTCTTAATTGTCTGCATGAGCTTGGAAACAGAGAAAAGTTATCAGCAAATGTTTAAAGATTAAAACAGAAGATGCCTTTTGAATCTCTTCCCTGTTTCCCAGGCACAGGAGCCACCCACCAAAAAAGGCTCAACCTTCCCAGGATTCAAGCACAGATTATTAGTCCCCGTCGGGTCCACCACTACATTCAGAGTTTTTGCATCCTCTCGTGATTTCAGATGTTATGCAGAAATAGAGCTGTGTGTCATCAGCATAGTGACACCTTACTCCAAAACTCCTAATGACCATTCCCAATGGCTTCATATAGATGTTAAATAGTACTGGGGAGAGAATAATACCTTGCGGAACCCTGTAGCACAAGTGCCAGGGGACTAAGGAGTACTCATCCAGTGCTGCTCTCGGAACACAGTCCTGAAAGTAAGAGTGGAGCCATAATAATATGGTGCCTCCAATACCCATCTCACTTGAGGATATCATAATCAACAATATCAAAAGCCACTGATATATTGAGCAGAATTAACAGGGTTGCATTTCCCTGTCTCTCACACAATAAAGGTAATCCATTAGGATGAAAAGGGCTAAAGTTTGGTTCAGAAATAGACTCTGAATCCAGATTGTAATGGATCAGATAAGCAGTCTCATCCTTGAACTTGATTTCAGTGGGAATGGAAATCAGTATGCCAGCTCCAAAGCTGGCATGTCGAGAGACCTTCCTTTCCCCCTCTCCGCTATTAGAGCACCAGTGTGGGAGGAGTGAGAACTGTAAAAAGGAGGCCTTCATGGGTTGGCCTGCTCCACTAGCAGATCTCTCTTTCCACACAGAGAGGGTGATCTGCAAAATCTTACAGCCCTTGGAATTCCTAGGTAGGAACCATAGAATTGTGCCCTTCAAAACTTGAATTGATCCATATGGTAGCATATTTGCCAGCCAGTGTTGTCCATGTGGATCATAGTAAGCCACTGCTGAAAGAGCTGCATTGGCTGCATTTTTTTCATAGATCAATTCACATTGCTGATTGTGATGGCCACCTCCCAGCCACCATGGGTCCCTTTCCGTCTGAGGGCATTGTGTTCCCTGATAATACAGAGTGTATCCCTCTGTTCAGTCCAGTCTCCTACTTTAAATAACAGCTGTCGCCAGACAAGGGATAAATTAATTAGCTTCCAAAATTTCCTGGGATCTCTTAGGATAGCAATGTATTAAAGCTTCTAAGTGCAAGGGTGTTATAATTAAGAGAGAGTGCACCATGGCAAACTAAGGCCTGGGGGCCGGATCTGGCCCAGTTGCCTTCTAAATCTGGCCCACAGACAGTCCGGGAATCACTGTGTTTTTACATGAGTAGAATGTATGCTTTTATTTAAAATGAATCTCTGGGTTATTTGTGGGGAATAGGAATTCGTTCATTCCCCCCCCCAAAAAAAATATAGTCTGGCCCCCCACAAGGTCTGAGGGACAGTGGACCACCCACCTGCTGAAAAAGTTTGCTGACTGCTGGTGTACACCATGTTTATGAAGCAGGTTCTAAAGTTTACTAAAACAGAAAAAATGAACTTTTTTGGAGGTGGGGATGATATGCCATGCAAAAGTTACACAAACCCACTATATTTCCTTTGGAGCAAAATAAAGCAGTTTAAAACACCATCCACTTTCCCAGGACTAAACTGTCCCTGAACTCATCTGATTCGCAAAAGAATCTTAATCTGCTTTGTATTCCTCTTTCATGGGTCTTGTCACAGGATGCCTGGGGTTGCCAAGGGAGGAGCATAGGTAACAATAAATGACGTGACAACTGGATCAACCACTGTATGGGAAGCAGTACTAACTTGTTCTTTCCAGGGTGGGTGTCAGGAGCCCTGTGAAGGTATCATGGAGTGGGTGGTTGAGTCTGGAGGAACAATGGGAGGAGCTCAGAGAGCAGGAGTTGTATGATCCTGGAGTGAGTCACAATAGGTTATAAGCTGCCCCCTCTGAGCCTCAAAAGGTATCTGATCTCTGGAAGAACCCAGTGTTCTGGGGTTGGAGAGTTAGACCATGGGAAATGCCCAGGTGGGATAATAGAGAAGTGTCCCACCCCTCTCTCACTCCTCAGTGGCCTGACAGCCACAGGTGATGCAGCTGACTTGTAGCTTGCCTTATGTGCCGATGTGAACTACACCTTGAGAACTGACAGAAATGGAGTTGTGAGTTAAAGTTCTTAACTGAAGGGGGAGAGTTTCCCTCAGGCCTAGAGTACTGGTCCTGCACGTACTTCCCATCCAGCATGGAAACTCCTTCAGCATCAGCGGAGGAGCTCATGCAGATTGTAGAGGCACAGCCCATGCTGACAGAGGATAATGAAGAGCAAAGACCATTGTGGAAAGATGGGTCATTATTTGACGGCATGCCCCGCCAAAGTGGTTATCAAGACACCAGCACCAGAAAACTCCCAATCCTAGCTCTTGAACAAGTCCAGGAGCTGGGACCAAAGAAGAAATGTGGACCTCCCATGGAGTCCCTGAGATGCCACTGCTGCCCAAACCAGCTATCTTACCTGATGTTCTGCATCTCCTGTTGAGGGAAAGGGGTACCCACTTGAGTCTTGATCAACTCAGAGCAGCCAGCAACTTTATGGACTGAGCAGCACAAGATATAGTTGTGGAAGCTCAACAAGCTGCTCACTATGGAGACCATTGTCCCAAGGGGGACGGTGCTGGTGTCAGGTGTTGTCACCCATGCAGTCACTTCACTTCTTTTTGGAATTAATTGCTGGGCCACCAGAAGAACTTGAAATTTCATCTGGCAACCCTGTTGGGTTTTCTCATTGTCTTGGTGTTGACCTGGCTCACTTTGCATGATCCATGCATCTCCCTGGGGCAGATATCACTGGCCTTCTCCTCAGACTACTGTTAGCATTGCCAGGGGACCCGAGCTGTTCTGGCCATGAGAGCCCTATCACAAGACTCTGGGGAGACCTTGCCACCTCTCACAGGCAAGAAGTGCTCCGTCATTCAATTACACAAATTCAAAGAAGATGTAACACACAACCCAAATAAGAATTATTATGGTCATTTATGGGTGGGGGTGGGGTGGGGAATGGCAGCACATTTCATAGATAGAGCATAGTAGTCATTCTGCATAAAATGGTATGTTCTATTGGTAACAGTAAAAATAATGTTTAATTCCAGAGGTTGTAAAAAGTGTCATTGATATAATTTGCTTGTAATTTCAAAATTAAATCCACTACCAAAAAGCTTACACAGACAATTAATGGGATGATGTAATATTAAATAGTTAGGTGCATAAATATCAACCTAAAAGAGCAAGATAGTGTATCATTTGCTGCAATAGATGGCAAAATGTTAGATCTAAGAAGCAGCTCAATATATTTTATCTATTCACTGTATAGCAATGAAGGTGTGAGTTAGGGTATGTATCTGCAGGGACTTACTTATATTGTTCCCATAGTAACAACAGTATGAAAGCTAAAGCTTTAACTTGTTTTTTAGGCTCCCAGATGGCTTTACGCAGCTTTTAAACCTGACCCAGCTCTACCTAAATGATGCCTTTCTGGAATTTCTTCCAGCTAATTTTGGAAGGTAAGCACAAATTGTGACACTTCCCTTTTATGAAAAAGCATGTGGATTTTAATTTTTTGATTGAGAGAGTTGGGTGTTTTTAGCCAAGGAGGAGAAGGAGACTAAGAGGAAATATGGTAGCCATCATCAAATATCTGAAAGACTGTCACATGGAAGATCAAGCAAGCTTGTTTTCTGCTGCTACAAGAGGGTAGGACGTGAACCAAAGGATTCAAGTTACAAGAAAAGAGATTCTGACTAAACATTAGGGAGAACTTTCTGGAGGTTTTTAAACAGAGATTGGATGACCACCTGTCATGGATGATTTAGCTGAGATTCCTACATTATAGGGGATTGGACTAGATGACCCTTGGGGTCCCTTCCAGCTCTACAGTTCTATGATTCTTTGATAGTTTATAAACTATCATTCTAGTTTTTACTTTTTGATAGCTATGATAACCCTTTCTTTCTGAATTAGAAGTGCAATCATGTCTACTCAGAAGTAAATCCTGTTGTATACCCTATATGATTGAAGACTTAATTGGTGTTTCTTAGGGTAACCTGACTTGGAGAAAGAGATCCTACTACTAATGTAATGAGAGATTGATAGAGATGGAAGAGAGATAATTCTGAGCTGAATGACATCAGCGCTTAAACCCCCACACCAACAGGCTATACAGTAGACTGCTGAGGCCCAGTCTTTAATCAACAACACCAGGAGTGGGGCAGTACCACTACTTAACTGTGCAGTGACGGGGGCAAGGTGAGGGGGACACCAGTGGAACCAGTCAGGTGTTTCCCCCAATGTGCCCACGCTAACCTGACTTTGGCACCACCCCTTCACCCCAGTAAGTTTCAGGGATGCCATTATTGGGAGGCCATCACCACAGCACCACCCTGACCCACTGACTGCTCCTGCTGCTACAACAGTCAATATGAAGATGGAATGAAATTTGCCAGTAAATGTATTTGAATGTGCTTTTGGACACTGAGGTCTGTTGAAATGTGATGGGGCATTTTTTTTTCTGGGGATGAAAAGAAACAACAATGTTTCCTGACTTGTAAAATAAATATATTTGAGAACAAGTAGGCAACTTGCCGCCTATTGCTTTTAAACTGTTAACATTCGTTAACAATTGCTTTTGCATGTAACTGCAAACCATGGTTTGACACAATGGGAACAAGCCCTTTGATTGCAGATTTTCCACTTTAACTCACTTCAGGTGAAATACTCAAGTTCCGTTTAAATATTACAGCAAAAGTAACAAACGACAATTTGAAAGTTGCTCACACTTCTGTTTTGCTTTAATGTATGGATCAGCTCTGACTCATAGCATCTAATATAATTTGCTTTCTCAATGTACTTTCTACATTTTTTATCTACCAGTGGAGTTATTTGAGGGTGTGTTTCTAGCTTTTAGACACCTTAGTTACCTAAACTAATGTAGTAGCATTCTTTTAGCATACCACCTGGATCTTGCAATAATAAAAGTTAGACTAATATGGAGTGGGATTTTGACATTGCCACATTATTATTTTTGTTGTTTCCTGTTCTATTTCAGGGGAGGCGTTAACCCATAAAGCCATAGAGACTTCTAAATTGTATTGGCTTGTTCGTCAGGGGGAAAATAATAACGTTTGCTTGAATTGTTCAAGTTATATGAATGTTAAAATAATATGAGCAAACAAAAGCTCTTCTAGCTCTTCCAGATAATAATGCATTACATAGTTTTAATAGCTTTCCAAATTGTAGTTTAGCTTCTTTAAGCAGATCAGTTTATTTTGCTTTAGATACATAGTGAGAGCCTTAGGCTGTCAGTGGTTATGTGAGAATCAACTGTGTGTGATTCACACAGGAAGCATTTGCATATTTCATATGAAATTACATTGTTTGCTCTCTGGAGGATGACAAGTGTATTTATCCTTATCAAAAATTACAAACATTGTGGGAATATGTTTTGCTGGGATCCTTGAGAGAGCATTAGAATAGTTTCTCTTTTCTTGTGTCCCATAGGAGGCCTCTTCTTATCTTAATTTTCTCTTTTAATAGAATCATAGAATTAGAGTTGGAAGGGACAATGAGGGTCAGCTAGTCCAACCCTCTACAACAGTGTTTCCCAACCTTTTTTGGGCAAAGGCACACTTGTTTGATGAAAAAAATCTCGAGGCACACCACCATTACAGCCCCGTGACGTCAGCGCGCAGCGTCACGCCGGGAGGGACGCACGAAAGTGTAACTTTCGATTTTTTTCCCTCCCCCTTGCCGGGGAACCTCCAAGCTTTGGGGGTGGGGGGGGAGGCAGCAAAGCGAGGGACTGAGGGACTCCTCCAACGACAAGGGTTGGGGAAGAAGAGAAAGGGCTATTCCGCTCCAGTCACGGGAGGGGAATATGTACTGGCCCAACTGGTGTGCGGTCTTCGGAAAGCGGGGTGCGGGAAGGAAGCCTAGGCTCGGGGTCCACCGACCTTGGCGGAGAAAGGCAACAACCGGAGCCGATGACGAGCCGGCGCGTGCGTGCAGCGGCTGGCCTCGAGCTCGGGAAGCTGCGCGCGGCGATGTTGACGCGGGGTGCGCGAGAGCTTGGGGGCGGGGCGGGAGAGAGAGAGAGAGAAAGAGTTGGCAGCACCAGGCGCTGTTACTTATTGCGCTACGGACGCTGCCAGCAACTGTGGTGGTTGTGCGGCGGCCGCCGCCGCAGAACGTCCTCGTCAGTCAGCTGAGCTGCCTGGCGGCGTAGGGAGCCGAGGGGCGGGGCTTCCTTTCTGAAGGAGCTGAGGGTGGGGGTCCTCCGGCGCCTTCGGCGAAACGGCGCCGGCCCAGAGCGCTTCTAGGAGGCTGCCTTTGTGCGCGACGTAAAGCCCTCTTTCCCTCCCTCCAGCCCCGTGTCACATGTGGAAAAGGGGGCTGGATCCAGTGACGCAACTCGGAAAACTGTTAGGGAAGCCAGAGCAGGAAAGTGAGTGGGAGGCGTCGCCGCCGCTTTAACCCACGTTTCCTTTTTGAAAGAGAAACCAGTGTTTCCCAACCTTTTTTGGACTCGCTCGCGGCACACCAGGCAACATCTCGCGGCACACTAGTGTGCCGCGGAACACCGGTTGGGAAACACTGCTCTACAATTCAGGAATCTCAACTAGATCATACATGCCAAATGGCCATCCAAGCTCTGCTTAAAAACCTCTAAGGAAGGAGAGAGTACCACCTCTCATTGGAGTCTGTTCTACTGCCTAACAGCTCTTCCTGTCAGAAAGTTCTTCCTGATGTTTAGTCGGAATCCTTTCTTGTAGATTTCATTATTTTAGCTGACAGAAACAAAATTCATTGATTGATTTTCTACAATTCTCTAAAATATATGATGACTTGAATCATGTGTAAGAAAATCTGCCTAAACATCGGGGCAGGGTCACCAAGGTGGCTTACTTTGAGTGGGGTTAAAAAGCATCTAAGCAATCTCCTAAACATAGACATCTCACAATGCGATCTTATTGCAGTATTACCTTTGAACCAACACCCCAGGCAACAGAAAGTGATGCTTGCGTTTTACTCTCCAAGGATCCCTTCAGCTATCATCAGGCAGAAATCACTCTTGGCTAGGTATGATATCATCCCAACAAGAGTTTTTATGGATAGCATGATCCACCCCCTTCTACTTGCCGGTCACGGCACGGAGCAGACTCTGTCGGAGAGGTCGGGAGTACCTCGGGACATCGAGCCTCCTCTCTCGGAGGATATCCATCCGTACCGAAACTGGACTTACCCTACGCCCCCACGAGCTCTAAAGAAACCCACTGGCGTAAGTAATTCTCTGACCCCGCCGGAGGAAAGAGAGCTTTTAGCCACCTTTGGCGACCTTCCACCGAGAGAACAACAAGAAATAATTGATAGACTAGAACTACTTAATCATCAGCTCATACATGTCCAGAAGAACGGAAAAGTCCTGCCCACTTTTCAGGATAACCCTGCCAGCTTTTCAGAGTCGTGGTTTAAGGAAGCAGGAAGTCTTCCATACCTTAGTCCAGCTCCTAAACCCATGCCTCCCCCACTTGTGGGCAAAACCCACCGACGCTTGGCAGACCCAGGTTTTGCCTCTCAAGTTGGCCCCTCATCCCAACTCTTGATAAATTTTGACTCGCCCTCCAAGAGTCCCCCGCTGAGGAGTGTAACCCAGAGTTCCTTCCACCAAAACAACTCCCTACCATCTAATCCATCAATGCCGGAACTGGAGTCCTCATACTCCCCTGAGCGGCATAGACCCGACATACAAACGGTACCAGTACGCCGATCATCCCCTGTACCTTTGCCAGCATCAGGTCAGGGGAGTGTCCCACCTACATCAAAAAATGGCCCGGATTTGATTGAAGACCCGACCGGACATATTAACCAAATGGTTTCATCGGCGACCTTTAGACCTTGCGGTGGGGCAGTCTCAGCAAATCCTGTGGAGTTTCCCACTGAAGTGTCCGCCCTTGGGTTAGCCAGCAGGAGACCCACTTTGTCGCCCCAGTCAGAATACCTCACTACCAACTTCAAGACTAGGTACCTTCAGCAGGTGCCTGCTATGCAAAGTAAAATAACTGACTTTTTCGTGGGGTCTGCCTTGCCTCCAAAGGACTCACATCCCTCCCCGAAATGACAGCGAATTGGTTACAACAGGAACTCCCCCCTATCAGTCCTCAGCTGGAACATTGCGGGCTGGAGGGGGAAAAAACCTGACCCAGAATTCTTGGAGTATATTAACCTGTTTCATATCATCTTGTTCCAAGAATCGTGGGAAGTAGAGAGAATTGATCTAAATGGCTTTGAGCTTCTAGAACTCCCTGCCTGCCCCTCCCTGAAAGGAGGCCGCCCTAAAGGGGGCCTAATAATAGGCATCTCCCTCAACTTACATTCTAAATTTACTCTAGTACAGGCCTTGCCTCCTTACGCCCTTACCGGGCTGATTGCGGGGGAAAAGATCTCACTTCTAGTTACAAATGTTTACTTGCCACCCGGGGGTTCTTCCTCCGAACTGGGCTCTAAATGGGGCTCGCTAGAAGAGCATTTGCTCTCATGCTATGTCAAGTTTCCTAACACCCCGGCCATAATAGGTGGCGATTTTAATGCTCGCACAGCAGCTAATTGGGACTCGCTGACCAAAGCCAAATGGTGGGCTACCCCAAACCTTGATAATTATGACCTGGAACATATCATGAGGAGAACTTCTAAAGACCAACGAGTTAATGAGGCTGGAGTATTCCTCTACCAAATGGCCATCCGTTTAAATCTGGTCCCCCTAAATGGCACATGCCTCCCTGATATTCCAGGGGATTTCACTCACCTGAGTGTTAAATCAAACAGCGTCCTCGATTACCTGCTGGTCTCCAGTGATCTACTTAAGTGTATTTCCACCTTTAAGATCGAGAATGTACAATCTAGTGATCATCTTCCCCTTGTAGCCAAGCTTTCCCTGAATTGGCAGTCGGAGGCCTATAGACATGCGACCCAGATGGTAACCAACGTATCTCTCCAAGTAAGAGGAATCAAATGGTCGGAGACCCAGGCTCAAAGGTATCAGGAATTCTTTCAAAAAGAAATCCTTGGGCCCCATCCCTACATAGGCTCTGCCTCAGACGAGCACAACATAGTGTTGAAACGCTTCCACCATCTTACGACTGATCTTACGTCCTTCTTCAGGCTACCACCCAAAATATTAAATCGAAACGAGTATACTTACGGTGCCCCCTGGTATAACTCTCAGTGCAAACAAGCAAGACAGCGCCTTCGTGCTATATACAATGTATATAAGACCTCCGATGCATCCACTCTGCCAGCTAGTTATGCACAAGCCAAGCAAGTTTACAAACGCACGCAGAAAATTGCCAAACGTGAGTGGCAACATAATCGCTGGCAGGCCTTGATTACTGCTTCAAAATCACATAGATCCAGGGAATTCTGGTCTCTGATTAACAGAAGGGTGAGGAAATACCCAAGGGCAGTCATCCCTGCACCGACATGGGAATTGTTCCTGAAGAAATGTTTCTCACAGGCAGATGCTCCCTCCGACCATCTGATGCATCTGTTTTCCCACCTACCTATTTGGCCTCCCACCGATCCTGACGAAATAGCCAAGCTAATAGCCCAGCTGAAATCGGGCAAAGCCCCAGGGCCCGACCTGATCCCTGCTGAAGCCATCAAACTACACCCAAAATGGTGGGCTGGCATCTTGGCCAAAACCTTCGACGCAATCAACGCTTCTGGTCTCATCCCCAAAATATGGAAGGAGGCCATTATAGTACCAATCCATAAAAAAGGTTCTCCAATGGAGCCGGAAAATTACCGTAACATCAGTCTCCTTTCGATCATAGGGAAAATTTATGCCAGCTTTTTGCTGACGAAACTATTGCGATGGGTAGATGAGACCAACCAGATTGGCCACGAACAAGCAGGGTTCAGAACTAAACGCTCTACAACTGATCATGCGATAGTTCTTTACCACCTGGCACGGAAGTACTCCTCCCCTCCCCGGGGCTACCTGTGTGCTGCCTTCTTAGATCTTAAGGCAGCCTTTGACAGCGTTCCTAGAAATATTCTTTGGGAGAAACTTGCGAAACAGGGCATCGATAGAAGACTCCTATGGCTTATAAGTCAGCTCCACGAAGGTACCCTTGCCAGAGTGAGACTTACTCCTGCGGGCGACCTCACAAATTCGATACCAATAAACAAGGGAGTGCGCCAAGGATGTATATTGGCTCCCTGCCTATTCAACCTTTTCATCAGCGACATGCGAGCACCCCTAGTTAACTCATCTCCAAGCACACACGCGCCTAGACTAGCGGATTACCGCTGCCCACTCCTTTTATATGCGGACGACGCGGTAATTCTATCTTATACACGTGTTGGACTAACCAGAGCTCTGAAGATCTTTGCCACGTATTGCCAACTCAACCATTTAACCATCAACCATGCTAAGTCCAAGATTCTGATTTTCTCCAGAAGCCGGAGATTATACAAATGGAAGCTTGGTGGAGCAAAAATAGAGCAAGTCCTAAAATTTCAATATCTAGGAGTTATTTTTCAATACAACTTGGGATGGAAAGCTCAAATTCAACACCTACTTAACAAGGCCAAAACCCTGTCATATGCGCTCCTCCGATTTTTCTTTTCGGACGGAGCTCTGCATGTTCCCTCGGCCCTAAAGGTGTTCAAGGCAAAAGTGGTTGCAGTGCTTGCTTATGCTGCCCCGCTCTGGGCCGTGATGACAGATCTTGCTCCCCTTGAGACTCTGCAAAGCCAATTCCTACGTCGGCTCCTAATGCTCCCCCTATGCGTAAGCAACGCAGCCATGCGACTAGAATTGAAGATCGCATCCTTAGAAACTTGCCTGTGGAAGCAAGTCTTCAATTACTGGTTATCATTGTGGCATAGATTACCAAACCATTACCTTGTCCAATGCTTATGGCGAGATGAATTCTCCAGCCTTTGGACTAGTAAAATTCATGCCAAACTCCTGAGCTATGGAATCTCTCCCTCAGATTCCCTAAAACTAGATCAAATCACTGCTCAAAGACTGATCCGTCAAAGACTGGATGACATCGACTTGCAGCAAAATTATACGCTGGGGGGAGGTGTTTGTTCGCCCCAGAACATTGGTATCACTTTAACTTATTGCGTCCCATCATACCTCTCCTCCCTTTCGACTGTTGCCCATAGACTGGCCTTCACCAAAGCGAGGTTCAACGTTTTCCCCTCCAATGTCCTGAGACATAGATTCTCAAAGGGCCAAGTCCCCGCCACGTGCGAATGTGATAAGGTGACGCCGGAGTCGCTCCAGCACATTATGTTCACTTGCCCCCTGTTCAATGTGCCACGGGCAAATTTGTTGGGATCAATCATACAGAAACTAGAGGGTACCCCACCAAAATTCCACCTTGCCCAAATCTTGCAGGATAAGGATTCCCACACGACCCTGAAAGTGGCTAGGTTCCTGGTCGCTGTCCTCTCCCAAAAGCGACGCCAAGGAGCACTACAAGCCAATTAAGGCGTAGCATGCCTCTCCATCTTATAGTATTTATTGTTATAGTGGTGTTTTAGCGACTGTTTTTTCTTCTCCCCACGGCACAAGCTGTCACTTATGTGTTGTTTTTACCTGTATGGGCCTATGGCCGTAATAAATATTATCTATCTATCTATAATCATGTGTAAGATGTTCTTTTTTATTCTGTTTGCTATGAAATGAATAAACCTTATAAACTGTCATTTATAGCAACATTTATTTCAACATTCTGCATTTATGCCTGGTAATTGGTTCTCTGTGGTTTGTCAGGATCTTCCAGAAGAACACAGCTGGCAATCACAGCTGATGTACACTGTCATGAAGTTAGATAAAATTCTAGAACCGCAAATATCTACTGAATATTAAGAGTCAGCATATTTGTCTTAATTAAATAATCTGCAAAAAATAATTTCAAGCTGTTGCTTTTCACCTACAGATATATGGCTATGATTCTCATTAGAGGTTGGCAAGGTGAACTGGATAAATTTTATGCAAATATACGGCTAGCATAATTTATGTTAAAACAAATAGCTTATTAGCAATTCTTGTATATGTTTAATGACTTCCTAATTTGAATTTATACTCTTTTAAATTTTGATACTTTTAGACTTGTTAAATTACGAATATTGGAATTACGAGAGAATCACTTGAAAACTCTACCAAAGTAAGTGCTTATATATTTTAGTTACCTCATATAGTCAAAGAATTGTCCCCCCCTCCTGTTATGAATTGTGCTGTTTTGTTGTGTGATTCCCACTGCTGTTTCTATTTTGGAACATTGTGCCACTGGGGGATATATTAATGGCTATAAATATAAGCAAAAATGAGTAAAAGGTAGATAAGAATTAAAAAGCATACACATTCTAACAAACTTTAATCAAAATTTGATAAATTATGGGTAAGACCCAACCATTGGTAAACACATCCGTTACACATATATGTTTTCCTAGTATTCTAGATAATAGTTTTGTTTGTATGTACCAGCTGCCTTCAACTGGCTGATGAAAACCAGTCTTACTTCTCAATCTTGGTAACTGCCCATCTACTTAGGATGGACTTCCTATCATACACAGGCAGGATCGTGATTAAACCAGCAAGCTTAATAAGTGTTTGTAAACCAACTTCAAACTCTTGTTACTAAATCTGGTTATGATGAAAAACCTTTTTTTCCCCCCATTTATGACAAGTGTTCAACTTGTTTGTAATACTTGGCAGCTCTGATTATATTTGCATAATATCTATATTTCAAAGCCCAGGATATATGAGTTAGAGAGCATATAACACAGATTACATTTGTGTTTGAACCCTTTTTTTAAAAAAACAATGTTTTTTAAAATTATGCAGCAGAGTCATTTTAATAACTATCAAGCAATTACCAAGACGGAGCACCATTATGAAAGTTAATGCTAGGAGAGGCTTTGTATGTGAATAAAGGGAGTTTTAATCTCTCTGGCAGTACTTTTTCTGAGCTCAAATAAGGCTGGTTCAGACATATCAGTTTGTGCATAAACACATGGGAAGGCTATGTTGGAACACATGCAATCCCTGCCTCCAGTGTTCCCATCCTTTCCAACTGCAGCCTTGGGCCTTTGCATATTGGGTAGAAGGTTTGAAATGTGATCTTTTCCACACGCCTATAATGTTACAGGAGAGTGTAAGTTTACATCAGAGTAAACCATTGTTAATGGTAAATGGTTTACTTTAAACATGCATATGGCTCCCATTTTGCACCTCCTGTAATGAGAGCAGGAGGAACAAACCATGATCCTGGCTTAGCAATTAATCTGAATGAGGACTTCTGATTTGTTTCACACCAAACAAACCATGAAGGTTTGTTCTTGGGTTACTAATTGTGGTTTGTTATGAGTGTTCAGTGTTCAGATGTAACACTAAGCCAGGGATCATAGTTAATTCTCCACACTAGCAGTGGAGTAAATCACAGGAGCCATAGAAACATTCCTAGTAAATCATAAACTATGGATTACCATGACATTTGACCCATTTTTCCTGTTATTATCTACTCTGACTAGTGAAAGATGCTGAATAGGATCTTTACCCAACCTGCTGTATTGTGCTAAATAAATAAAAATAAAGCAAAATAAATAAAAAGGTTTCTGGGATGGGAAAGTTTAATAGTGAAACCATTCTCTCTGCATTCTGTTACAACAGAAGGCTTTGATATGCACTGCTATAAATAAAAAATGAAACCTTATTTGATTTTGGATGTAAATGTGCCTGAGATGAAATAAGGCAATTTGTGCTGTACACATACTCCCCTTTGAAGTTTTCTGTGCAGAAAATAGATTTGGACACTGATGTTGGTGGGTTGTAGATGGCCTATCTGAGGCCTATTGGAGATTTATTAAACCTTCAAGGTTTTTTTTGCAGTTAGTAGCAAAGGACTGAAAAAAGTATTTTATTAATATACATACTAGTTATAAAACACCACTTTGGCTTTCACCTTTGGAGGCCATAGCGGTGAAAAAGAAAAATATGATGGAAAGTTGGGTAACTTATAGAAATTTATTTAGAGAGGAGGGTGGAGAATTTAACTTAAAAGAGTTTAAGAATCTACCAGGAATGTTAATAACATGATTACAATATCATCATTTGAATGAAATATTTAAAAAGGATATGAAGTAGGGGTTTGGGGAACAACTATCCCAATTAGAAAGAGACCTGTTAAATTGTAGTGTTAAAGTGATGTCTGAAATGTGCAAGATGTTATTGGAATGGGAGACAAAGGATGAACAAGTGAAATTTTCAATGATACACTGGGCAATAGATGTTGGTCGTAATATAGAAATGGAAGCATGGGAACGATTGTGGAACACGGATATAACATTTACAGCATGTTATAATTTAAGAGAAAATTATATGAAAATGCTATATAGATGGTACCTAAGTCCTAGTAGATTGGCAAAAATGTACAAATCAAAGTCAAATACTTGTTGGAAATGTAAAGAGAAAGAAGGTACCTTTTTCACATGTGGTGGTCTTGTAATAAGGCTAAAGCTTACTGGGAAATTATATATAATGAATTGAAAAATATGTTTAAGATGACCGTAAAAACCCCTAGAAGCTTTTCTATTTGGAATTATAGGATTAGAACGACTCAAACAATATAGAAATTTATTTATGTATGGAACTACAACTGCCAGAATGTTATTTACCCAAAAATGGAAAGATGAAGAGGTGCTGACGAAAGAAGATTGGATACAGAAACTAATGGAGTATGCAGAAATGGCAAAACTTACTGGAAGAATAAGAAATCAAGACAACAAACTTTTTTAGAAAGGAATGGAAGTGGTTTATTGAATATTTACAAACAAACTGTAAACAGATTAGGACATTGGCAGGATTATTGTAAAAACCTTCAGTTAAAAAAAAGAGAGATATTAGAATAGATAGATAAAAGAATAAGTTCAGACAATTTGGAGTATACAGGAAAGGATGAAAATAAATGTAAGGAACTACAGAAAGAGGGGGGAAAGGGAGTTGAAATTGAAAATGTTAAAACTTGGCAAAATAATTATTGTAATGCCTAAAAATAAGAATATAAATTACACACACACACAGACATGACGTTCTCTAGCTCCCCAATATATGCTGTGCAGATGTCATATTTTCCCTCTTGCCAGTGTCCTATAAAGGTAAAGGTAAAGGTACCCCTGCCCATACGGGCCAGTCGTGTCCGACTCTAGGGTTGTGCGCCCATCTCACTTAAGAGGCCGGGGGCCAGCGCTGTCCGCAGACACTTCCGGGTCACGTGGCCAGCGTGACAAGCTGCATCTGGCAAGCCAGCCCAGCACACGGAACGCCGTTTACCTTCCCGCTAGTAAGCGGTCTCTATTTATCTACTTGTACCCGGGGGTGCTTTCGAACTGCTAGGTTGGCAGGCGCTGGGACCGAGCGACGGGAGCGCACCCCGCCGCGGGGATTCGAACTGCCGACCATGCGATCGGCAAGTCCTAGGCGCTGAGGCTTTTACCCACAGCGCCACCCGCGTCCCTTCCAGTGTCCTATAAACACGGTTAAAAACTCTATTTAAATATAAATCTTGTTTATTTTATTAAAAAAACCCCTGCTTTTGAATATAAGTCTTTAAAAGCAGTTATTTTTAAAAAGTAACCAACTACAGCATTATATATGTGAGCAGTCTTCATTCTGGACTTAGGCCTCTGGGGAGTAATTTGAGACATCCTTTCCCAACAGATTGGCACCATGATAGTATTATATACTCCAGTTGAGTATTCTGACTAGGAGTACAGCAGGATCTAACAGGTAATGGGCACATTTACAGGGGAAAGAGCACTGCAATTTAGTCAGGTGACCTCTCCTTGCCTGAAATGTCAATGCTGTGGCTGCAGTGATGCTACAGTTATCTTATGGTGCTGACCTTCTGCTAGGCAGTTTGGAAAGCTCCCTGCCCTTTCCACACTACCTGACAGATGACAGGATCATCTGCTGGGCAAGAAAAGAGTGCTGGGATGCAGTCCAGATGCTCTTCAACAGTGCAGTCATATATTTTGCAATCTATGGAGGAAACAGTCACCAGAATCTTTCCCCAATAGATCAATGCCTATTTGGATGAAGAGGTTGGATAGAATGCTTACAAAGGTATTCAAAGTGCATAAGATTGTGCTGAAAGTGACTGTTGCTACTCCTAAGTAAGATTCGGAGAGCAGCAGTGACCATGTCATTTGAAGAGGGGAAATGAGGGGGAAAGATTGCAAAGTGTGCGTGTGGTGGATTTATCTCCTACTACAAGTGTTTCTATTAGTAACCTGGTTAGTATGTTTTGCAAAACAAATTTGCTTCCATACTGCATATATCCCCAGAAGATAGTACTTAAAGGGCAATAGGGTATAGGAGCCACCCCTTTCCATGAATTTTGAGGCATTCTTATTATCATCTTAATCATCCAGTCACTATATACAATGCCAAGCTTCTATTTGTACTTCAAGTTTTTCTATTCAGTTTGTCCCATTTATAGAGAGATGCAAGTACTGTAGCTAAAAATGAAAACCAGTAGTTTACATTAAGCAGGGAAAGGCGTTCGTCTTAACCTAGGTCAGGGGCAATGTGAACAGTTGGCTAAAGGACATTGCTAATTCACTGAAAATGTAATTCCCAAATTATTCTGTTGGGGACATGTCTCTGAGGACTGTGTTGCTTGGTTGCAGCTCAGTATTGATTGAAGATAAGGCAACTGTCTGAATTAATGATTAGATGTTTATAAATTGTCATGATTACTTATGGTGTGTGCTGGCATGAAAAAAAAGTTGGCTGAAAAGGGACAGCTAAAAATACTGTCTTTGGGATTTCCAATCAGAGTAAGCAGAACATAAAAGCAAACCCTTCTAATGCAAAATTTTCAGTTCCCTAGATGGGAACTTGCTGGAATAGAAATATACCTTCACTCCTGTAGAACTATTCCTATATTTTAATTAAGTATTTTAATTTCATAATGAAATTGAAAGTTGAGCTTGCTGTAAGATGCAGTTAGGCAGTATCACGAAAGGCGTGTGGTTGTGGGTGTGCCTGCTTGTGGCCTACATCCTCCTAGTAACATTGGGAACTGAAACACATAAAGCTGTGTTCTGTATTGATAGCAAGGTACACATGGCAGCTAATGAATTGGAATGAGGCATGGAAAAACTG